CAATGACATGTCATACGTAGTAGTTTACAACCTCGGATAATATACATTATTTTGTGCTCTAGGTACGTGTTTACCTAAGTAGTGAGTATCATGCTTGCAAAGTTGCTTTCATGTTCTACTCAAAACTCTTCACTTCTATTCTAAATCCTAATCTATTGAAGTACACCTGTCCAAGCTTGCAGCCAGTGGCAATGTAAGAAATGTTGTATTAGGCCAGGGAGGCAGAGTTTCAAAAATTAACTGTGAGCATATTGTTTTATAAAATTATACTACCTAGTTTATAAATATACAAACTATTAGGTTCGTTCCTAATAAATAAGGATATTACTCTCTATTTCATGTAAGCTCACATTACTCTCCAAGTATATCATACTTTGGAGTTGCTCAATACCACTACTAGTAAACAATGTCATTAGCACGGACTTTGCACGAAATGATCGAGTTTAGCACGGATCATAACATAATTTTGGTACGGCGCCGTGCCAAATAGCTGGTGACAAAACGGCATTAACACAAAATTTGACATGAAATAGATATATCCGTATCAAATCCGTACCAAATACCCTATAAATTCTGGCTGATTCGTGTCAAGTCCGTGCCACTCCTTCAACCACAAAGAAGTCCAATTAGAACTATTTAGCCCACTCTTTAACTAACCCTTACACACCTCCTTCAATTACACTGTGCATGCTTTTAGTGAGTTTTAAAAACATAATGTGTTACTTTTGAGCAGGTAGATCTGTAGATACGAACATGACTTATGTATCCGCTTGAACTACTCAATTCACCCCTTAACAATAAAACGTCATCACTCTGAATTCATAAACAAATGACATCATTTTCTCGTTTTCACCACCAAATATACCTCTTATTTGAACAAATTCTTGTTTTCCACACATATATACCCTAAATTCAACCAAAACATCTCTTGGTGAAACACGTTCATAGTTTGATGCTCTTGCTTATTTAAGATTTTTATTTTTGACTTTGATATATGAAAATTTGATCTCTTCTTTATACTGATATCCATACCCGATAAGTGAAAGCATTCAAAAGTGAGGAGATGGATGAAATGTCAATACATTTTTATATTGATTCTTTTGTTGATTCTTATCACACTTAAACCAGTCAATTAAGCCGAACGATAAATGTGAGTTTGGAAGATATTAATGATAAATGATGTGTAGGAAAGTGTTGGCCCACGAAAGGGTTGGCCTCTTGCCGAGGAGTGGCGACCCCAAGTCCCCAACGCCCTCATTGTGGGACTAGCCCTAAAAGTTTTTAAAAGAGTAGAGGATGATTTTTTCGAAAATATTACTAATAAAAAATATATGAACACTAATATGACTATAACTCTATAAGTTATTATAAGTAAGTTTTATAGTCATTGGGATGTAACATTTGAATACAATCATAATCATTAAAGTTACCAGGATCATATTTTTCTATTTTAATTATATATTTGAAACTATTTCTTGATTTTTTTTTTATAATTAAGGTGACGAAATGGACAACTTTTAATGATCCAATGATTTATTTAACTATCTAGCATATTGACTATGATCGAAGAGGAGGCAATCGGAAGAAGGCAACGGTAACCGCTAAATGAGCTATTTTCAATTTTTTGTGTAGTAATAATAGCATACGCACACAATTTATACATGCGGTTTGGGAGACTTTATTTCAGTGTAATTTTGGGACAATTCAGGGACGTTTCTTACTAAGGAACCGGTATCCTATCATCTTTTAAATAAAATGTCATTCAGTCTACTTAGATGAAAAAAGATTCAGTTCTTTGACTTGAAGAACAGATTATAACAGTTATAGTTTCGTGTAACGGTTAACCCCAAATTAGCACCAGTAGAAAGACACATGAAATGAATGTTGAAAAGGCAAATTTGAGCCATAAATTTGAACGGTAAACTTCATTTGTAAGCCTCGGGCTTGGAAATATCTCATAGGAGTGACAAAAAAGATAACACATCATTCCTCAGTGCCTTCAGCACCAATCGGACAGTTAATTTGTAGAATATAAATTGAACTTTAATCACAAACTAAAGGATAGTGAGTAGGACTCTGACTCAAATATTTACAGAGGTCATATGCATTTTTAAATGGTAACCTTGTTGGAAATTTTGGGGTATTTCAAATGAATAAGTTTTTCAATTATTTTTCTGGGAAATTTTATCACGACTTTAAAAACCATTTTACCCTACCATTTGTGAAGCCATTACTAAACGTTAAACAATTAACTTAATATATGAATTTGGCTAAACTTTTTCTAACGTTGGGCATCATTAGGAGTTAATACAAAAACGTTTTATATCATTATTCATTATTCCTTAAATGCCTTTAATACTACATAATTCATACTTTAATTTCATTAAAGTTTATATGGTGACCCTTTAGTAACCTACGTTCGGTTCATTGTGTATTTGGACATATATATACTTGGCAGAATAGACATATATGCTTGCTGGAGACTTTGCACTCATTCTGCTTATTGAAAAGGGAAAATGGGTTATGGGTGTTGTGGGATTACAAAGAGAGAAGGCTACGTACCACCTTCATATATGCCTTAATTTTCTATAGATGAAAAAATATTTACGGTGAAGTGCGTATACAAGTATACAACAATTAACCATCACCTCTATTACTGGGTTCATATACTATTTTCTTCTCGTTAGTTCTGGTACCGGTTTGATAACCGAAGGGCTCGTTATATCTTGGGGGAAATTTCCATATGCCGGAAATAATTCCTTAGGACAGCGTCTAACGCGTCTCGAGCCACTAATATACTTTTAGTTCTTTTTAGTGATTATTTTGCAGGTCAATTATCGGAGCTAGATAGTCAACGAGGTCAATTTAGAAGCAACACAGTCAACACGTTGATTTTGGAAGAATAGAGCCAACAAACCTCTCATCGTAATTGTTAGGATTGAGTTACGCCCACCGGCAGGAGTGACACAATACTAGAGAAAATGAGTGGTGTGTGGTCCTTTTGCTTCCTTCATCTTATCTTGAATCATTTGTATATCGAAGCATATGTAATCAAACAATCAAGAAAACGGAACAATTTTGCTTGAGTCACGCAATTGCCAACTAGTCACATTGACTTGATGCCAAATTTATGGTCCATTTATTGATTATAATCAAGTCTCCATGGACAGCAATCACAGCATATATCCTATATGTGTATATCTCATAACTTACGTGGTTAGGGAACCATGCATTTAATTAGACTGATATTAAAATGAAAATGGTCAAACATTATCCATATACGGTCTGAAGTTTTTTTAGCAAACTTTGTATGAGGAATACTTTTTCAATTGACATGCTAAATACATCTAAAATAGTGAACCTTAAATTTTACTTTTGAAACGTCAACTTCATATTTACTAGGACAGGATTCTGCTCATGTTCAAGATTTTGACAAAACTTAAAATGTGAAATCCGTTCATTATTTCTCAAAAAAAAAGAAAAGGACATGCTATTGTTATAGAAATAAATGAGTTTGTGCATTAGTGATGTTACGAAATATGTCCTTTTATGAACTATGAAGTATGAACTGGATCTTCCTCCTGTGAATGCCTTTCAGAGCAGTCTATCTAAGAGAACAACAAAAACCCAATTTACATGTCTAGTACAGTAGTACTTGTACTAGTTAAACACCCAAGTGTGGGTTTCTCACGCGTTATGGCAATGCTCGCCTCGCTCGGTGTGTTTCTTCCTTGATTGCCCAGATCAATCACTGATGGAAGTTAAGCCGGAGCAGGGGTGGACTCGGGCCGGTTCGGGCCTGAGCCCGGCCGGGCCTTGGTTCATGAAAGGGGAGGCCCGGAACCGGCCCGGGTAACCCCCGGGTCCGGTTCGGGCCAGGCCGGGCCAGGCCTCGGTTCAACTTAATTTTTTTTTGGCTTTTCCTAATTAACCCCCAACCCTCCTCCCTCACCCCCAAACCACCTCAAATGGCCCAAAATACCCAGCCTAACCCAAAAACTTAAAAAAAATTCAAAAAAAAAAAGAAAAACAAATTGACCCGGACCGGGCCCGAACCGGCCAGGCCGGTTCACCTTTTCAGGGGCCCGAGCCCGGCCCAGAACCCCAGCGGGTCGAGCCTACCCGGACCGGTCCCTGGCCGGGCCGGCGGTTCGGGCCGGTTCAAACAGTGACCGGGCTGGGCAAGTTCAAACAGTGACCGGGCTGGGCCGGTTCCGGGGCGGGCCGCCCGACCCGAGTCCACCCCTAAGCCGGAGGAATCTTGAGTTTCGGAATTCACAAAGAAATTGAAAATGAAGGCCATGGGGGATGTTCTCAATTACAAATATTGCTAAAGGTATAAGCAATGAGAATAAAGATGAGTAAAGCATGAAACACCTCAAGTAAAAGATCATTACCTTATTTAAAACATGGATCTCATCGAGTCCTAAAAAGGAATAAAGTACGTACTACGTAGTAATTAATAATTCTACTTATAGAGGGGTGGGTTTTCCTAATGATACTACTTTTAGGGGGAATTCAAAAGTGATTCTATTTGAAAAAATGTTGAACGCCTTGACTTTTATTTAATTATTTGTAGAAAATATTCTAATGTTACACTACCGTTTGACTCGAGACAAACTGTAGAGCCCAGTTGGTAAGACTTGAAAACAGGCAAATCCTTGGTGTTGCTAATACTGAAACAGTGGTTGAAATGAAAATAAATTAAAATATGTTTTCAAATATATGAATTAATAACTATCTAAAATGAAAATTGAATTGTCAATTTCCTCAATTTTAGTCATTTCACCCAGAAAGGAACTCATGCAATACAAATATCAGGCTTAGTGATAGCCATCATAGTAAGCTAAGTTCGGATTTGACGAAAAAACTTGTCGATAATACAGATTAGTAGAAAAAAATCGAAAACTACAATAAGGGAACTACAATGCAAGCATCTTACACCACCAAAGCTATTGCAAAAGACACGAGAATCATGAAATCAAGAAAACCTGTATGCGGTACGCCACAATGCTTGAAGAACTTAGTGATATTTCACATTAACATTAATACGTAGTATAAGTGTGAAGTGTTATCTATTTAACGAAAGAAAACTCTTCTATATGAGATGCGTTACATCCACTCTCACTAGAGAAGCCAACTATTATATACAGGCAGCACTAATCAAAGTTCTACTTTTAAAATCTGCAAGCAGAACCAAGAAACAAAGAACAGATGGGCATAGTAAAGAAAACCAGACAAGACATATTCCTAAATGAGACACTTTCAACTTTGGCTTCTCCCTCCTTGTTCTATGTCTACATTGGTGCGAGGACTAACCCGTTTTTCCGTGCTTAGAAGCCTCTTCAATGACCTCAACCTTGTAGGCATAGGAGATTTCTGTTCCTGATCATCCTCAACAGCATGCCTTGGGATGTCAATAACCAAAATACTTCCCATCACTGATGATGATGTTGAAGATGAGGGACAAGATGATGATGGAGCAGAAGAAATAGAGCCTTGTTGAGAGCCTTGTTGGGGTAGTTCATCCAAACCAGTCCCTAGAGTACTAACTTGAGTCTCATCTCCCCAAAACAACACATTAGTGGGGAAATTAGGTGTCTCACCAGGAACCAAGCCCTCAACTGATGCTGTTTCTGCAGGAGGAGGATTGGGAATTGGGTTTCTGCATAACGGGCAGGTGGAATGAGATTGAAACCACATATCAATACACTCAACATGAAAACCATGGTTGCATTTGGGCAAAAGCCTTGCCTTTTCACCTTCAGAAACTTCACACAGACAAACTGCACATTCTAATCCATCTTTGAAGTCTTTAGGACTAAATTCAACCACTGGTATAGTTTTCAGTGCAGAGGGGTCGAGACCCCTGCGAAGTGCGGCAGCTGCTGTGACTCCTTGATAACCCGAGGCGAATTCAAAGCGCCGCCTTCTGCGAGTGGTAACACCCGTGCTGTCTGGGCGGCGGTACCAGAACCATTTGGCATAAAGGTGGAGGAGGAAGACGAATATGACCACTAAGAACAGACAAATGATTGCCGCTACCATTATCTTCCCTGTTAGCTCAACCTGACTTGGTTCATCTAGCTTACCACCAATGTTTGAATCATCTCCCATTTTTTAATCCAAATTCGAAAAAGTAGAAATCTTTGACCTTTTCAACTGATGAGATTGAAAACCCAGGTTAGGTTTTCCTTCCGATCATCAAATTCTTGAATTTGGAGGGTTTTATTACAAAATGAAAACCAAGAAAATATAACCGGCCTCCTCCAAGATCTGGGAATATCTTTAAACAAGCAAAAGCTTATAACAGAAAAAGTAAAAGATTTTGGTACAGGGAAGGTTTGGCTAAAGGCTAAAGCGTTAGGGTATATATGAAGAGGGAATATGAAACTTGGAAACTAATAAATAAGAAGGCAAGAATAGTGGAGAGTTTGAAAGAGACAATATAAGAAAAAAGGATGGGTGTTATACATACGCAAAGATGGGATTATGGGAAGAGAGTCACCAAAAGGCTCCTCCACCTCCTCCTCGTCATACGGCGGCGGCTCTATGGGTGGCGACCAAACTCCAAGGGTTTGACCGGACTTGTCATGATAGAGATGGAAGTTTGAAGTTAGTTAAACAAAGGAAGGTACATAAAAACAAAACATTTGACCGACTATGCCTCGGGAGAGACCAAATTTTGTTGTGTTCAAATTGATGTTTGCCTAACTAGACGCTTGGCGAACAGTAAGGTTGAAGAAGAAGAGGGAGATTCAAACAAAAGAACAGTGATTGTCAAGGGAATTAACCTTGTGAATTCGGCGAAACGGGGGTTGCGGCTAGCTGAGAGGAAACACTTTACTGCGCTCTTGCCAAAGATTGTATCTTTCGTTTCTTTCTACAGATACTAACCTGGTCCCCTGTTTTCTTAATTTCTGGAATGGATAGATAACGGAGCAACTGTTATGGTAATTCTTTACGGCTAAGAATTGTGAATTTTATTATGGTAACCTTGTGAATTCTGCTTTTGATTCTGAACAAATTTTAAAAAAAATTAAAATTTATTAATTTGTTAAAATTAATAAATTTATTAAGGCAGTAAATTAAAACGAAGTACTTTACACTTCCAAACACTCCAATTTGTGTTTCTGCTCCCTGAAGAAGTAAAAGCAGTTTTAATAATGAGATCCAAACAATACCTGACTTGACTTATCGCCATTACTTAGAGGTGTTTGGATCTGATTCTTAAAATTGCTTCTGCTTCTTGAAGCAGAAATTGGAGTGTTTTGATGAAAGCGTAGAAGTGATTCTAGTGCTCTTATTTACTCCTAGAATCAGTTTTTTTGGAAACTGAGGGAGACCAAATTATGAAAATCTGATTCTACTTCTAATTTAAAAAAAAAAGCAAAACATAATCAGAACACCCCTTATTTTGATCAAATATGCAATTCTTAATTTCACATTTATTTTCAACAGCAAAAGAGTATATGTTTTGAATGAATGAATGGTCTCATAAGCAATTGAATCACAAAAAATCGAAACTAACTGAAAACGCACTATAATTATAAAACAACGAATCATACGGTTCAAATACATGTCGAGTAAACATTTAAACATGACCAATCAACATAAAGACATTAATTAAATGGTACACAAGCAAGTCGACATATGATACATTGCGATAGGTGAATTTTTATGTTAAAAGTTGTGTTTATTTTTATGTGTAAGATTAAAAAAAATTGATTACACAAATTTTGCGAACATGTATGAAAAAACAATATATATACAAGTAGTCAAGTTAGAAATTGTTGCAAATTAGAGTAAAATATGCATAAAGTACATAAAAACGAGTAATTATATTTTATTCTCAATATAAAATTTACGGAGTATTTGATTCTATTAAAACTATACACTAAAATTTATTTACAGAGATATCAATAACAATTTCAACAATATAGTATTATGATCACTTAAATTTAAAAATTGAACCTAAGTTACTGCAAAAATTGAACTAAAATATTGTGAAATATATGACAGTAATTAATCATATTTCAGAAATAAAAATATGAAAGTTCTATTTTCAAATTGTTTTTACTCCTATTTGAGACAATTTTCATTTAAATTATTACTATTTTTACTCTTTTTTTATAAATAATCTTTGTCTTAATTATAAATATATTATTATCTTTTAAAAGAGATGACGCCTAAAAGAAAAAAATTTGGGCCTAAAAAATTAACTCACACTCTAGATTAGGGGTGGATATATTGATTTTGTTTAAACGAACCAAACTACAGAATCAAACTAAACCGAATCAAAACCGGACCATATACAATTTGGTTTGAGTTTGATAATATTTTTTCGAAATGATATTAAAGTGAACTGAACATAAACCAATAAAAAATAAACAAAACTAAACTAAAATAAAGAAATTATAAAACTTTCAATTATTATTATTAAAAAACAACAAATCCAAATCCAATCAAATAATATGATTTTTATTTGGTACTAATTCTTCCCATCCAAATCCAAATCGAACTCAAAACCTATATGCCACCCTACTCCTTGTGATTTTCACAGCTTATCCACAGATGACACGCGACGCGATGGCTCGCCACTGAATTCCATCCCTTTTTCACTTAACCGCCGAGTCGTTAATTTATTTGCTGAAAAAGCGTACGGTAAAACGGTTAGGATCAATGGTGAGAGCTCGGTTGTTAGTGTTTCCGATCAGAGGCAGGAATTGGTGCTTCAGCCGCTCAGTTGACCAGTCCGCATGCAAAGCGCAAGAGGCCAACACGCCGTCGACTCTCAATGACCTCTGGAACAGGATCTCCAAGCCCACGGACAAGCCTTCCGGGTCTAAGCTTGAACTTCTAATCGATTTCGCCACGAATAAGGTTCGTAACCTATACTTGAGCTCATCATTGTTGTTTTGATGTACATTTGATGGTTATATACTTGTACGAGTTATGCGTGCTAATGCGCTTAGTGTTTGTTCTCAGATGAGCAACCAGTGGAGCAATTTGGAAAAGGCACCTGCTGGAAGTTTTAAGAGCAAAATTCACGGGTGAAATTGAGTTCTGATTTGCTTTTGTTTGGTATGCTTGATCCTGTAATTGCTACTATTGATGAATTCACAGTTCCTGTCATTAGGTTAGGGTTGCGGCTTTTGTCTACTGTTAAACCTTCTGAGATCTTCTTAAAGTCCATTTCGAAGGAGGTCGATAAAGTGGAAATAACCTATCCATCTAGGTACAGTTCCTTTTAAGCTATGTGTTTTTAATCTATCCAGACCCAACATTTGCTTTAGACATGAGTATTAAGAAAGTAGTATTGTATGGTTGAGATTTATTTAGAAAACAAGGAGAACCTCACCTAATTCTGGGATGATAATCTTGAGATGGATGAAAAAAGAAAAAGAGAAGCTTATTTGAAAAAGAGGGACTTAGAGGCTTACAGCCCGTTTGGTAATGCTAAGGTTAGCTGAAATTGATTAAATTAGGATTAAAGCGGGTGAATCTGCTTAATTATGAAAAAATTATACTAGTACTTAAAGTGTGCTTTATTAGGAAAATAAAGATAAAATTATATGGAAAAATAGCTAAAATGGTCCAATTCAGCTCGAAAAGTAACTTCAACATTACTTATTTTGATTATTATACAATCCAACACGCGAAATCAAAACTTATGTGTTTTGTGAAAAAATCGGTTGATAAGACTCATAAGCCGAAAAAACTGATCACCAAACGAGCCCTTAATGGTTATGTTCAGTTTGATTTTCTTTGTTTTGGTTTTTTAGGCAGTGACAGACACTAGACAGTGTGTTCATGTGTTTAGTAGACTAGCAGTTTTGTTTACAAAAACATGTTCCTCCAACATTTCCTTGGCTTAGTTAGTTCACTTGAATGGATGCACATGCTGAAATGGAGGAGGTATTTTTACCTTTAACACTAGATTTGGAACACGATAGAGTTCAATGTTGTCCAAAATAATTCCATGTTTTGAAATTGCATTGTAACTTGTAATGATAGGAGATTTCCGCTGAACTTAGCGTGAACAATTGAACTTCAAACTGCCAAGTACGAAAGTGTAACGTTTAGATTATCAGAATATCTCGTTGTCATTGATATGGCTTATGCTAAATACACATATACTACGTTTGTTTTATAATCTACAGTTTAAATGGCCGACTAGTTCGTCGAAGGCTAAGACATATTGCCTTCAGGTAATGTGAAATGAGTTACTTGTCTTCTTATCCGTACTATTTTGATGAACCATAATCCCATGATGATTGCTAAGTATTCATTAGTGCTTTTTAAAAAAATCTTTTTTTATAACTGAACTGTTAGGGGAGCGGTTATTCACAAGAAGTACTTGTATGGATCAACTGTTTTGCTTCCATTGACATCAGTCTTCATGGTATTGCTGTAATTACATGTTTGGAATTTCTGGCAATTCTTTTCTTTTATTTAGGTCATGTTATCATTCTAACATTGCCAATTTAATGTTTAGGCACATCAACAGTTTTCTGCATTTTCATTTATTGTAGGTGCTACCCTTGCCTAACATTCCTTTCTTTTGGATCTTGTACCGCACATACTCTCACTGGAGAGCTTTGAAGGTGAGCACATTCAATTAACAATAGTGACAAGAGAAACCTACTGAACTTGATGTGTTAGGAATAGGAATGGCCAGTTTGGGCTTACTTTGGTTTGGTCTCGATCAGTCTGTTTGTTTGTTTTTAACTACTAAGATTTTGTAGTGTTTTTTTTAATTGGTTTTCATTCAGATTACTACAGTTCGGGAAAAGCATCACCAAACTAAAGGTCATATGGTTCGGATTAATTCGGTTTGGTTAACTTAAAGTCTTAAACCGAAATGTCAACCCCTAGTTAGGAAGGTCTTAAAAGCATATAGTTGTAGCCTATTAGCCTTATTGTCAAAAGCATTGTTCTATCCAGAAGTTACTACTGAAACATAATATTTAGACCTGTTGTAATTTCCCTTTCTGATAGAAGTGGCTTGATTGTTTTTTCAGGGAAGTGAAAATCTTCTCCATTTAGTTACAGATTATCCTGGCAAACAACATTCCAATGAAAACACAGCGCTTGAGACAAGAAGTAAGAAAGCTGATTCAAATGAAAACTGCAATGCCCTAAGCTCTTCATGGGTATGCATTTCTATTGAATCTGCATATAGCTTTAAATCTAAATGCAGGCCTGAACTCCCTGAATTTTACCACTCCTCTAATCTTGCATCTGACTTAAGATCTATTTTTTATATATTCTCATACTTCACTAATTTTGTTTTCAGTACTTCAAGTGTGTTGGATAATTAATACCCATATTGTATGAACAGGAGAAATTGAACAAGAATCAAAAGGAGTAATGGAGAAGAAGAAGAAAATGTGTATAGAATGAGTATTGGTTATATGAGTTACAAGCCTCCTATAAGGAGTATATATAGGGAAAATCCGGGTCTGGGCCTCTAATATGGGCCTGACAGACCCGGTTACATAAATGGACTGATAGTATAAAAAGCTAATCTAGAACATCTGAATAATAATAATAATAATGTACAATAATATTAATGATATTCGTTAAACGTGTGTGGGCCGCTGTCCAGGCCTAGTAGTCGGCATACCGGGGGGTCGAAGTCCATATAATCCATCAGGAGTCCCCCACTCCCTGAGTCGAGAGTACTCGAGGCGAAAGGGAGTAGTCCAAACTGTATCTGCAACGTTCTTCCTCTTCGGACGGGGGACCACCACCCTTGTCCATTATGGGGAGGTGCCTCGTTAAAAACCTTTACTAGGAAAAACCCAGTGGGAAAAAATCCTAATAAAGGGAAAAAGAGTACACCTAGTGCCCCCAACATGAAACAAGGAAGGTAAATCCCCTCCGGCATAATCAATCTAGCTCAGCTCCTCTTCAACTGACTCAGCTCTCGTTCCTGCTCTTGCGTGATATTTTCTGCTCATCTAGAAACTCTGACCCCTCAGTCCCCAAGTCCCCACTCTTTGAGGCGAGTGGAGACGAGGTGAAAATGAGTAAAGTCATCTTCGTACCTACACATTTATCATTCATATAAAAAAATTTCTTGGGACTTATGTTCCCGATCGGGAGTTCGTCACTTGAAACAAGTGGAGATGTGAATTGTTAATGTAATGATAAAATACTTAGTAGAATGGATGTGTGAGCCATTCGTAAGCAACGGTCGCCACTCGAGGAATGACTAAGACCGGTCTTCGTACCCGACTTGGTCGGGGTTTTTTGTCTTCATGCCCGACTTGATCGGGGCTTTGTGCCTGAGGAGACAGGGCTTTGTGCCTGAGGAGTCAGGGCTTCAAATCCTAGTGATGGGTCTCAAGCCACACTCTACTAGGTATTTGATCATAAGTGCGTGATAGTGTGACATCTAACAGATAAAAGAAATTATTTAAATAAATATAAATAATAGAAAATTGAAGAGTACTCATCTTTTTGAAGTGGGCTGGGCCAAATACTTCATGTGTTGAAATCTAGTCTTTTGAAAGAACTTGCCCAACAAAATGATCCGGCCCATTATTATTAATGAGAGTCAATCTTGGGCTTGATGAAGTCTTGGTCCGTATAGAAATTGCATCTTGACTCATTGGCCAATTTTGACCCAGCTTTCGCCATAAGTTTTGTCCGCCCAAATTGAGATATAAATCAGAGAAGATGCCCCATAGTCCTGTCACGCTAGCTGGATATCCCACATGAGGAGATGGCAGGCAGCTCTGCAGTTCTGTTCCCACGGACCCATCCCATACTAATTGCAAAAGTCTTGTTGGCATGTCTTAGTCTGGCCCTTCATTTCACGTAGCTGGCCTGGAGTAAAGCGGAAGGTCATAGGTCTGGAGATAAGGAAGGCAGCTCTTCAGCCCTGTCCTTGATGCCGCCGGAAATGGAGGCGGTTAAGAGAGGCCATCTTTGGTCAGGAGGACGATAGACCGTAGTCAGTCATGGTCGGAGGAGCAAAAAGGGGTTCGTCGGAGCTGCCGCTGCTTCTCAGGTGCTTTTACGGCTGCGTGTAAGGCGCCGTCGGTGAACGTCGCTACCACCATGCGTGGGTTTTCCGGCGACTGCGGCTGTGATTTCGGCTTCGTCGCTGGGTCCATAACTTAGGTGGGGAACAGAGCTTCGTCCATCGTCCCTAGATCTGCATTCGCCATTGACGGCCGGTAGAGGTTCACAGAGCTCCCAGATCGTAGGTAGGCTGTGTGGTGGAAGCGGCAGAACTCGCGCCTTGTGCTTCGTTCCAGGAATTCCAAACTTTGGGCGGATTTCAGGACAGCTAGCCAGATCTAGAGCTAGCGGAGAACAGGCTTCGCCGACAAAGCACAGCGGCGCTGCAACAGAGGCTGAAGAAATACCTGCGAGCAACAGCGGCGAGCGGCGAGCGGCGAAACCCAGTAGCGGCGGCGGACCAGCTCCAGCTTACTGTGGACGGCGGCGACCAGGATCGGGAAACGGGTGGCGAGCTCCAGTGGGCGGAAAACCTCTGCTATGGCGCGTGATGGCGGCCGGAGCGGTGCTGGGATGGAAGTAGGTGACTTCCCACAAGCAGGGAGTCTCAGCTAATGACGCACGGAGGCGGCGCGGTCGTCGGCTCCGGCTGCTCCAGCAGAAATTTGGGAAATGTCAGATTCTTCATTTCCGATCTGTTCTTGCTGGCTTTTTTCTTTTTTTCTTTTATTTTCCAGAACAATTTCTTGCTGATTCTTTGTGGTTTGGGTAAATTTTTGGGTTGATTTTGGTAGAGTTTTTGGTTAAGCGAGGAGGGTTTCTTACTTGATTCTGTTCAAACTCTCAACGAGAGCACCATTGTTGGATAATTGATACCCATATTGTATGAACAGGAGAAATTGAACAAGAATCAAAAGGAGTAATGGAGAAGAAGAAGAAGAAAATGTGTATAGAATGAGTATTGGTTATATGAGTTACAAGCCTCCTATAAGGAGTATATATAGGGAAAATCCGGGTCTGGGCCTCTAATATGGGCCTGACAGACCCGGTTACATAAATGGACTGATAGTATAAAAAGCTAATCTAGAACATCTGAATAATAATAATAATGTACAATAATATTAATGATATTCGCTAAATGTGTGTGGGCCCGCTGTCCAGGCCTAGTAGTCGGCATACTGGGGGGTCGGTGTCCATATAATCCATCAAAGTGCAACAATATGAGTTTGCTTGCAGTTAATTATGACTGTATAAAGTGGCATAATCTTATTATGGGCATGCAATTATATACTTTTTCCTTTTAGGTAACCCAATGTAACATTTTAGTAGGAAGTATCAAGGACAATAGTGTGAGAATAATGTAGGTAAAGTAAATTAAATCTTGGGCAAGGAATATCACTACCAAAGCTGAACACATTAAAGTTCAATCACTCTTAATGCCATTTTAAAAAGGTTAAGAAACAAACCAAATGAAGCCGTCAAAAAAATACTCCCTCCGTCCCATTTATATTGTCTCGCTTTACCTTTTCGGGAAGTCTCACTTAAATTGTCCCATACCATATTTGGCAAAGTTTTTGTGGCTCTAAATCATTCTTACTTTATTCTTACTTTATCAATTAATATCAACCACACACACCCACTTTTCTTAATAACCGTGTCACCCTCTTCTGGGACAATATAAATGGGACGGAGGTAGTAAGTTAAACTATAGTGGCGAACTTAACAACTGAAACACCACTTTAGTAATCTTGCCAAGTGGATGATAATCAATCTTATCATGTAAAAGAATCAAAATAAATTCTTCCAAATATGAAATTGTCCATAGAATTTGATTCAAAGTTTCCATGTTGGACAATATACATAAAAGGTGCACCATTCATCCCAAAAAAGAGTTTTATTTCATCAAGGTACAACTTTTTCATTTTTGGTTATGTTATATCACCAGCTCGTGTTTCATTTTTGTTACTTTATCCTCCTACTTACAGTGTTTGTATTTATTTGAGAGTGAAACTAAAGTTAGCATATTTTGCTTGGAACATTGCCTCTTTTGTTGAAACGTGACCTTTGTTGGGAAAAATATGTTTTGGAACATTAATCCATTTTTGGACGGATCACGGATGGAGTATGATGTACCAACACCGAGACATGCTTCTTAAGCTCTCAGTGTCCTTACGTATTGCTTTCTAGCGGCGCTCTATTGCTCTAGAGCTTCTTATGAAATGACTTGTGGCTACAAGTCATTTCATAAGAAGTGCTTTCTCTTTTTAGCACTAAAGGACTTTATTTTCCTTTTGAAAAAGCTCCATTCTAATGCTTTCTTAAATAAGCAGAAGAAAATTATTTCCCCAAAGAATTAAAAGCACTTCTTTCATCACCTTGACAACCCCCTTAAAAAAACTTTTCCTATAAAAGCATGTGTTGTTTGAAAATAGGTCACGCCAAATGTGCTCTTAAATATTTTTTGTAGAAGTATATGATTTTTCACCATTGAGGGTAGGAAAGTCCTTAACGAACTCTATTTGTGGTATGAACAGGTTTTGATGCCGTCGGAGGAACTCCAGAAACTTCTTAACCTAAGTAATACAACAGACGGTCTAAGTGAAAGCACACTATCTGCAATATGCCAAAGATATGATTTGAACTTGATGGATGTTGTCAAGTACCGGACTTCACTTTAGGTTGGATGTGTTTCTAACGATAGCCGCTCTAGATTTCATATTGGTTTTCCGAGTACACTTTGTTGTCTCTTTAGATGTTTTTGGCTGAGAGCTCAAAGAAGAACAATGCATTCTTTCAAATAAAGCTTTTTGCAGTTAGCATCAGGTCATTGGCTCCAGCCTCCAGCAAGTTTATCTGTTTCTGTTTGACAGATTCAATCGTTGCTTTTCGTGAATGGCCTAACTCCTACTGATTGATAAACCATCTGCTATGATCTTTGCTCCAGCAGGTCTAAACTTCCGGATGATGGACTGTCTGCTGGCCTAGGGACGAGTCCCCATCACCCTACAATGTATGCTTTTAAAAATAATGACAAATCTATCAGAGCGTGTAAAAATTGAGTTTCAAGAACATTCTATCAGTATTGCTTTAAGTGTTTTTTACATTTTAGAAGCCATTTTTGCTGAAAACAAGGCGCTGATATATACAACGTATATTGCTACAATTCTACAAAAACTTTCGTAAATATTGTTCTTTAAAATGTGATAGACAAAAGTAATTCTTACTTTCTTAGTAACTATTAGTGACTACAATTGTATTCAAATTTTATATTACAGTAAGTAAATGTAAGTTATTGTGATGTAAACTTTGACATAGTTATAGTCAATAATAATTATTAAGTCGCATTTTTGTCTATCACATTTTTATCAGTAATTATTGTGATGTAAATTTTGACATAATTATAGTCAATATGAATTAATTAGCAATATCTAAAATTTAGATATGTAGCAAATGATTCAAAAGTACAATTACACTGAAAACATAAATTCATGCCGTGACCAAACTTTGTTTACTTTTTCGTTTTGGGGACTTAAGTTATTTTATTTTGGTATTGAGGACTCCAACATTATCTATTTAATTCATTTGCAAACATTTTTTGTATATTATAAAAGTTTATACGTACGTAGAGCGCACAAGTAGGTGTGCATCCGATCCCGATCCGTGGATGGTGAAGCCTTTAACAGACCTGGATTTTACGGGTCCTAGTCCTGCCCGGGTACCCAGCTGGTCTCGTGTCCGGTCTTGAACCGGTTTGGGAGGTTTTGATTTTCTTTATAGAAATTCCAGTAATAAACAACAAATGCTACCCATTAACAATGAAACGTAGATTTTCTTGAAACATTAAGTTGACTTGATGTATTAGTCATTTATAAATTAGAATTGAGAATATTTTAAACACATTTACTAATCGTCAAAACTCATGGCAGCGTTAATTGTCGTTTCCTTCATGAAGTGGTGGTCCAGTGCTATGTTAACTTCTTCAGTTCTATGGTGATGGGCCTTCAACCAATCATGGAAGAAAATGAGTGTCTCAAGATATTGCGCACTCAACCACGTTCTATAGTCAGTCAAGATGTTGTCGATTTCGCTAAACTCTTGTCTCACCGGAATCGTTGATACTATTGTCGTTTTCGATAAAATTGATAACATTCCTTGTTTGTCTTCCACCATTGGAGAATGTCAAACGGTTCTTTTTCATACCCAAAAAGAAACGATAGATATAAAAAAAGCTCGTTAATCGAGTTTTGTGCAACGGCAGGAGTAGATATGATAATGTGGCTAGTATTAATATGTAACCACTACACCTCCCTACGTCCCGTTGAAAGGTTCTCATTTTTCTTATATGGGTCTTCCATTTAAAGGTTATCATTCCATTTTAGAAAATATTTTTTTCTCTTTGATTACACCTTTACTCAATTTTTTTGGTTGAGTAAGAAAGGGAAAAAAACCACATACATATCCCGCTCATTATACGAATTTACTCAACTTAGCTCATTATAAAGGCATAATAACGAATGATAATAAACGTAAGTGTGTGCTAATTAAACTAATACATTCATTGTAATAATGATGATATAGATCATCTTCATATACTAAGGTATTATTATTATTATATACTTAAAAGCACCACATATCCCGCTCATTCATGACTTACGACTGGGCTAATTACTTAATTTCACCTCCACCAGGATTTCTCGTTTGCTCTGGCACCAGTTCAAACATTTAGCTCCCATCCTCGATCGAATATCACCTCCCGCTCCAGTTCACACATTCAAAGCTTCTGAACGGCACACCAGTTCCCTCCCCTCGCCATCACTGGCCGAAACTTCTTTAGTACCACTACTACTATCACCTAGCCCGGACCACTTCACCCTGGAATTCCATTTGAATGGGATTTTCTAGGTGAAAAACTCAATCGCAACTCGCAAGTCGCAAGAGGTTGCCCTAACAATAAAAGGTACTTCCGGCATCTTTTCCTTTTTTGGAAGCTTGAAAATCCAATCAAGAATTTCATCTCTTCAGCTTCAATGAGGTATAACTTTTTTATTTAAGAATTTCCTGTATTGACTTTTGACTAAAAATATGTTTTACCGCATTTTATTTACATGATTCAAATAGATCTGCTTCCCAAATGAATTCATTTGCTTTTTCTTCAATACTTTACCTCTATGAGATGGACGGCCATGTGGAGGTCTTCAAGCATTTTTAAAATTTGCTAAATTTAGTGGAAGTTTGTAAAATCCTCAACTTAAATAAAGTCTACCTTCACATGGATGCTTCTGTGAGTGACTTCCAAGTCTAAGCCTTTTCACCATGACTGTATTCTACCCTTCTCAAAGGAGATAAAGGTCCAACGGGATTACAGCGTCATGGCATTCTTCCATCACAGAAGAAACTTCCTTCATTAGGTAAATTGAATCTGGCATGTTTTTTCTTAAACTAATCCTACTCAATTATTAATAACTTTGGCCTGTGATATGTTTTTGATGGATTTCTGAGTTTGTATAAATAAAACACAGACATTCTTCTCTTGTGCTTTTCCTTTAATCCATGTGATTCACATGAGAGGATATACATACTCCTTTAAGGAGAGTATATTAGTTTGAAGAAGCTATAAGCTAAGGTGATTCTTGATATGCTTCATATAAGTCTAGATTTTGCTTCTTTTGCCCCACATTGCTGAGAAGGGATGAACAGTTCACAGTTCAAAACTTATACGAATTTAGGCCATTAGTATACCAGCATAATAAGCAATGATTATAAACATAAGCGCATGCCAATTAAACTGATACATTCGTCATTGTAATGATGATTGATGATTATAGATCATCAAATTATAATGATAGATAGCCCCTTTGTGTCAATGCAGCCAGCTGAATATCAATACCTAAAGTTTGAGAAGAAAAACCAATGCAGCATTCAATCCATTCTCCAGGAAACGATTCAAAACGATGAACCAAAAACAAAACTGAACTAAATGCTCCACATCTGAGATAGCTAAAGGAAAGGTTCAATGGCCGGTGCTTGAGAAGGTAGACACATTCACATCAACTAACAACCGCATAACCTTTGGACGAAATGGATATAGGAATTCGGCTGGATGTTGTACTCCGCAAGCGTCTTATAGTCCTCCAGTTGCCTTCCCGCGAAAATGAGACGCTGCTGGTCGGGCGGAAAGCCTTCGGTATCCGCTATTTGTTCCTTCAATTCAGCAATGGTGTCCGATGATTCGACCTTGTAGGGAACGGTCTTCCCGGACAGGGCCCTAACAAAGATCCACATTGGTAACGAGGACGAGCACGCGCCTCCGCTTCTCTTCCCCCGCACGCTCCTTGAATCACGCGCTCTGGGGTAGCGCCGCTCAGTATCTGGTGCTATGCTCTTTCCGGTGGCGATGGCATACACATGAATGGGCTGGGAGAGATCCATCGACTTCAAAAACCACCTCCACGATCGATCATCGGTAAGCGGAATAGAGACGAACACCAATTTCTCACCGTCTATCTTTGTCGGATACTTCCCGAACAGATCCAAAGTCGTTTCCTCTTCATCGGTGTTCATTGCCGAATGCACTTCCTCCACGAGATCCCCATGATCACTGTGGCGGCTCAAGAAACACATCGTTTTTGGCGGATCTGAGTAATCGACGGAGCCGAGATATCCCTTCTTTATGATTTCCCCTCCCCAAAACAACAAAACCGCAACTTCTTCCCCATTGCCTGATTTGCCTCCTGCGCTCATTATTGATTAGGAGAAAACCTAGAAGTACAAAAGAAAACAAAGAAATCTAATTAATTAAATGTCTTGCCTGCCATCTTTTCCCTTCAATCCATCTCTAGTTTTCTACTGTGTTAAGCGGAGGAAGAAGACTTGGGCTATACATTGGATGGATTGGGACGGAATGACGGATAGCTTATGTTTTTGGGTTTACCCCGGGAATACTGGTAACTTTCAAATGTCTTTTTTTTGTTTGCAAATAACTTTCAAATCTCTATTATGGAAATTTTGCCACTTTTGGTCCTATGACTATATACCAAGTCTCACTCTTGATCCTATTCTTTTAAAAGTCTCATATTTGGTGCATGACTATTCTATTTTGGACACTTATAGTCCTCCGGTCATTTATCCGGCCAAAGCCATAGGTGAAGCTATATATTTTGTCCAACTCACCTTAGAAATTTATTTTGAGAGGGCACTTTTGTCTTTAAACAATAACAAGCCTAAGGTTAAACCCCGCGTACCTCAAAATTGAATCCTTACCCATAGTTTGCTCCAGAATAAGAAAACACTCCTGCAACTTGAAACTTACGTATCTTTTGCCCTAGAAGAAGGAAAGAACATGTGAAGCTAAGCTTTGAAACAGAACTACAACAACAAAAATGGCTTACTCTTCTCCTTTAAGAGACATGGGCATCATTCAAAGAAGTGGTATGTATTCGAACACAAAACCTAATTTTATTTGTTTGTAAATTTCTTATAAATATATCCTTACACTTGTAGACTCAGATTATGGAGATGATGAACAGAGTGATTGTAACTATTCTCATTCTAGCCTACACGAACTCTTAGACAGTGATATTGAGGAAAGTAATCGGGACAATATTGAGTTTGATCAGAATGTGGAGTTTAGTGTTGAATATGCTGGTTTGATGAGTGATGATCAGCAACTAGTTCTTGGATCTTCTGCAGAAAAAGGTTGGTCTGACCCCAACTTATCTGATGATGATTCTTTAGAAGATTCAGAAAGTGATGCCAAAAGTTCAAAAGTTAGGTGGCCTGTTTTTAGACCTAGCACAGAAATGGAAAATCCAACATTTTCTGTAGGTATGACATTTTCAAGGAAGAAAGAATTTCGAGAAGCGTTGCATAAGTATGCATTTCTAAATGGGAATGACTTGAAATTTGTGAAAAATGATTCTCTTAGATTTATTGTGAAGTGCAAGAAAGATGAATGTCCTTGGATGATAAATCTAAGGAAAGTGCAGCATTCTTTATCATGGAGGATATTGAGATTTTCACAAAAACATGAAGGGTGTGGTTGGAATTACCATAACAAGATGGTTACTTCAACCAAAGTTGCAAAAAGATGGGCCAAAGAGATACAGTTCCACAGCAATTGGAAAATGAAGAAATTTCAAAAGAAAGTGTGCACCAAAGAAAAATTTCATATGAGTACCAAACAAGCTTATAGAGCAATCCAGAATGCAAAGAAACAGATCCAAGGGGACCAGGAGGATAACTTCAAAAAGATTTGGAGTTATTGTGCAAAAATTGAAAAGACTAATCCTAGGTCAACTTGTGTTGTGAAAGTAAGTAACTTGACTGGTTCGAGTGAGGAAAGTAGGTTTCTGAGATTTTATATGTGTTGGGATGCTTGCAAAGAGGGATTCAAACATTGTCGACCATTAATAGGTATTGATGGGTGTCACTTGAAGACTACCATTGGTGGTCAAATTCTGACAGCTGTGACTATAGATGCAAACAATAGCATCTTCCCTATTGCATATCCAATAGTTGAAGGAGAAACAAGATAGTCTTAGGCTTGGTTTTTGAGAATTCTGAAAACTGATTTGAATATATGTGAGGAGAGTGAACATCAGTACACTATCATGTCTGATAAACAAAAAGGTTTAATTCAACCTTGTAAAGAGGTCTTACCTAGAGCAGATCATAGGTTTTGTGCCAGACACTTACATGGCAACATGAAAGTGGCTGGTTTCCAAGGAACAACATTGAAAAATGCATCATGGTCATGTGCTAGGGCCACCACAGTGAACTCTTTTAGCACAGGGATGACCAAGTTGAAGGAATTAGATGAAAAAGCACATGAGTGGGTATCCGCTAAGCATCCGAGTGAGTGGTCTAGATCACACTTCTCTACCACGGCACAGTGTGATATGTTGGTTAATAATATATGCGAGTGTTTTAACTTTGTCATATTAGAAGCTAGGGATCAGCCTGTAGTCACATGCCTTGAAACTCTAAGAAAGTTGCTTATGACTAGGTTCTATGACACAAGAAAGAAGGGAAGAAAGTGGAAATGTGGGATTTGTCCTAAGATTATTAAAAAAATAGAAGAGATTGAAAAAAAGGCAGCTGGATATTTGGGATATCAAGCAACTGACAGTCTATTTGAAATAACTAGCATGTACGGTGAGCAATATAACGTTGATCTAGAACAAAGAACTTGTTCGTGTCGGATGTGGGATTTGACTGGAATACCTTGTAAACACGGAGTGTGTGCTATTTGGCTCAAGTATGGCAAGGGTCCTGTGTATGACTATGTCAGTCCTTACTATTCGAAAGACACATTCATGAAGATTTATAGTGGCTCCATAAATCCAATGTCAGGTTCTGCGGAATGGCCTATCACTGATAAAACTCCCCCTCTTCCTCCACTTTATTCTAACAAGCCAGGGAGACCAAAAAATGAGGAAAAGATTAGCTGGTGAGCTTAAACAGACGGTGAAAGAGTGGCTAGGAGCCGAATTACATTACACTGCTCTAATTGCAAAAAACCTGGTCACAATTGTAGGAAGTGTCCAGATAATCCCAAACCTAAAGATAAGCTGGTAATAATCTGGTTTTATAGTTGTTTTTATATAGTTTTGATTTGCGGTTGTGTTTTTTGAGTTATATATGTGTAATTCTAATTTCCCGATATGCTTACCAACTCTGTAGCCTAGAAAGAAGACAAAATCAGCAAGAACAGTTCCTCAAACCGAAAAAGAGGTGCAGCAGAACATAGAAAGGGCTGAGGAGCACATCAACTTAGAGGATGACATTGTGAATGATCAGGGCATATCAGGCTTTCAATATAGCAGTTATGATATGCCTGCTGCAAGTTTGAACAACCAAGATCATGACTTGGAGTTGGAATGTACTATTGGATCATTTGATGTTAATTCTCTAATAGTCCATAATCATACCATTCCTTGGGCGGAGGTGCCTGGTCAAAATGGGGCAAGTGTTAGTGAAGGAAATAGTTTTTATGATACAGGTGATATCGGAGAGCTTTCTAATATCAAAGTGACAAATTGTGGTGTGAACATTTGCTTTGGAGCTCCTTCTAGTAAACTGATTATCAAAAGGGCAAAATGAAGGACATAGTAATGGACTTGGCTTGCACAATGTTTTTGTCAATTATTAATGTAATGTTAGTGAATCAGTTTAGTATGTTTTTTGTTGATGCCAATGGCTTAGTAATGTAATGTTATTAAACCTCATTATTTACAAACAGATTGGCACTACTGAGAAGGAAACTCATTTTTTGCTGATGTTTTTTGCTTGTCACTATTGAGAAGGAAACACAGTGTTTTATGTTTAAGTATGTTGTGAATGTTTACTCTTATTTTGCTTATGCAGTGCATTTATATAGGCATTTTTATGTTTACTAACAGATGAGAAACCTCGATTCATATTAAACCATATTCATGATTTTTACTTGTAGGATTACTTTTTCAGGAGGTGAACTTTCAAGACAGAACATACATGCTCTTTTTTTTTTCAAAAAGTCTGCCAAATTTCATGTGTACTCTGATGTGTATTCCTTCCTAGACAGAATATGCAAGATACTTTTCATTTTCAAAAATCTGCCAACTTAAGTGTGTAGTCTAATCTGCCAACTTTTCTGGACAGAATATGCACTCTTTACTCAATCTGCATTTTGTTGATAATAAAAATGGTTCAAATTTCATTTTTTACGGGTAAACAACCGGTCATTTTTCTTAATTTCTATATTGTTTCTGTTTTTTTTAATTTATTGCAATTTTGACACTTTTTAATACTCCCTCCAATTCATAAAGAAGTTCCACTTTTGACTTCACACATATTAAGAAAAGAAATTTGACTTTACTGTGGAGTGCGCTGTTTGGCATTGTTTGGACACTGTATGGAACTGTTTTAATGTAGATAATTTGCCACATGAGGAAATGTTTGAAAGTGGAACTTAATTTTGGAACTGCATGAATCTTGTGTAAAACATGGGTATTTTGATCTTTGTATACGAATCTTGTATGTATTTGTTGTACTAATATTAGTAATCAGTTTAGATTTATTTAAAGTTGTGATATGAATTTTATATATTCTAAATCTTTTGGATCTATATTTGTAACGAGTTCATAATTTCATATTGAATTTAATGATTTATTCTCTAATTAATTAATGATTTCATTTATTTATTTTTTGTGTTTGTCTAGTGATGTTGGAGATATTTGATAGATTGGAATCATCAATTTTGCAAGAAGAGAACTATGAAAAGTGAGGGACGAAAAGAAGCAATTGTACCAAAAGTGACACTTTTTAATAGTTTAGAGGTGCGAATTCGGGGTAGGCACGGTCCGGGTCGGTTCGGAAAATCGATAAACTTTCAAGAACCATCGGTTCTATTTAACGGGTAGGTTCGGTCCGGGTATACCAACTTTCGAAATAGGAACCGAACTTTCGTTTGGAACGGGCCGGTTCGGTCCCAGTACTCGGTTCCTTTTTTGTAAAAATAAAATACAACTGTGCAAGCAAAGTTTCTAGTAACTTTATAAAATTCTCAAATTAATTACGTATTAATATAACCATAATATAGTATTTATTCAAAATAAAAGTATAAAACAACATTTTCAATTAGTTAACAAAATATCGAACCACAAATCTATTAATTAAACAACACACAACCACCTTAATTAAAATGTTAATTATCATTCATAAACCAATTAAAAATAAAGGACCATAAATTCATAAGAAATGAAGCTAGTTACTGTACATATTTGTGTATGAAAACAATTTAAAGCTTATTCAATTTCCAAGTATAAGTAAAATTAAGATAATTAAATGAATATGTCACCCATACTTCAATTCATTGAGTAACGGTCTTTGTTTACAAAAAATTAATACTAAAGAAAGTTGGATGCGTTTGGAATACAGAATAGAGAAATAATTTAGGAGTTTAATTATACGGACTTTTTTTTAAATTACACGGACTTGAAAACTAATTTTAATAGAATGAGATGTTTCTTTAATTGGGAGTCTTTTTTTAGACACAAGCACACTAGGAGTTTTCATGTGTTGTTAGTAAATTATATTCTACTAATAATAAATAGAATAGAGATTATTAAAATAATATTTTAAAATGGTTCGGTATGGGTACCCGTTTTTTCAAATTTTAAGACCCGTTCGGCTCCTAAGTTTTTCAGGACCCGCCCGGCCCCGAACCGTTTCGATTTTCTAAAATTCGGACCCGGCCCTACCCCGCCCCAAACCTCTATTACCCGGACCGATCCGCGGTTCCAGTACCCGTTTGCCCACCCCTAGTGTGAATTGGACCTTTTTTACCGATTGTTTAAGCTTAAAAAATGAAATTTGAACCCTTTTTGCCGATTCGAGTGTGAATTGAACATTTTTTTAGTTCAGGGATTGAATTGAGCTTACATGACTGGTACAAGAGTCTATTTGACCATTTAACCTATAAAATAAGTATGCATATAGATATTAATAATGAGATGAATTACTTTCGAAAAAATCAACTGCATTCATTATCCGTGCAATATAACACACGGGTCAACTGACTAGTTACAAAAATAATCTAGTACTAAGCTAGTGTTAATTTATTACTATAATAACTTTAAAAGACCTAAAAGATCTCCCAAGGGATGCTAATAAATTGAAACTTATATTGTATGCAGTATTTATAAGTTTGTATAATTACACTTAATCCACGATATTGATCAATTATCTATATTAGAACATAAATATTTCAATTTCAATACTTGTAGGTGATTTTGTTTTTGGTTGGTTGAGCTGAGCAGTGATTCAAACCCATAACCTTTTATTTGGAAGTGTCATAATGATACCATCAGATCACAAGATACTTGGCTTCTAGATGATTATAAAATCAAGAGTAAACAAAGTCGACAATTTTTAATATTTATTTCATCACATTCATAAAAATTATCTCTACTAAGTAACACTACAAAATAATAATAATAATAATAATAATAATAATAATAATAGTAATAATAATAGTAATAATAATAATAATTGTAATAATAAAATCAATTAACAATGTCAACTATAATTAAAAATACATTAAAGTCTTATTATTATTACTAGAAAATAAATAATTAAATTAATTAACGCTTAGGAATTACATAATTGATTAAGGCACAACTAATTCAAGGTAAATTAAAGGAGATGCGAATTACGTTGGTGTTGCCTTCAAGTTGACATCGTCGCCAACTTGCGATTACTTGTCACCATCAACGACTGACTGGCGGGAGGAGTGACGAAGCTATGGTTGTGCACGAGTTGCTGTCAGCGGTCACGTTTGTCCAAGCCGGTCGCTTCCATTTACTGAGTCTTCCGCCTCTGCCTCGCTCGAGCTGCTACGCCGTTGTATAGCTTTTAGGGCTGGTTCCGTCCAACTTCGAAAGCTGCAAGCTAGAAATAGATTTGTAATTCAAAAGAATTTAAGTGTTCGCGATAGTTATCAACGTAATCACCATCGCACATCTCAGTTAATATTTAAAATAATTTTTTCAAAATACGCTTCGGAGCTTATACAATAACCGGTGCAAAATACTAACTGAGTGTATTATTAAGGAACCACCAAGTGTACGACATAATTTTTTAATGCAATTTTGAAATTATCGCTTTTGTAGTATGACAAATTAGTTTTTTTTCCACTAGTGTGATTTTTGGATCAAAATTTTGATTTTTTTATGAATCAATTTGAAATTTAAAAAGTTGCATTTAGAATGAGAAAAATCAGAAAATTTAAATTTTAAACTTACACCCTCATCTCATGTCCTCACATGGTCACTTCGTCCTCTATCAATAATACCCCCCACCTGTCCCAAAATAATACTACGTAGTTATGTTGCGGATTTTGATGTTTGATCGACGATAAAATAAACATTTCCGTGACAATTTTTTAATCAGAACTATAAATTAAAGTTTACATATTCTTTTCACAATTCGGCAGATTCAGCCAGAATTTCATCAATTTAGCAGATACAACGATTCAGCTATTTTGAATTTTACCAAACGGGTTCTAAAATTTTGGACTAAAATTATTTCTTAAAAATAATTGTAATTTTTTTGGGACCAAAACTACAAAAACTTATCGAAAATTAAAAAGAGCCTTACTATTCCGCATTTTTTAAAACAGAGCAAGACAACAAAACCCAGGTTCAGCCAGTATTTTTTAAAACATATACTCTGTCCGAACTTGCCAGGTTGGCAATCCGGCAAGTCGTCTCCCGCCATCTAGCCTTTGACCGTGACCATGAGAGTTCTTTCTTCTTCCTTTCTCTGAGAAACAAAACCCAGAGAGAATGAGGAAAAATTCGACCGTTGACAACAAATCTGTAATCGATCTTGCCAGTTGCCCGCTCCTCTATATATATAATAAACACATATATACCCGTTGGTTGCCATTCGATCTTCAAAACCCCATTCTCATTTCTTCCTTTGTCGCAGAAGCAAAACCCAATTTCCGTTTCTTTCTATGGTTCCTGCGAGCAATAATTTGGAGCTATGGAGTCCGGTATGTGTTCGAATTCTATAATCTCGAATACCCTGTTTCTTTCTTGAATAACATTAATATTCTCTCTTGTTCCTTGATGCGGTTCTGCAAAGTTGAGCAGAATTTCTGGAGATGATCGAGCAAGAAATAGCTAGAGTCAGGTATTATATAAATAAATATATATTTACGTACGAATCTTCAAAACCCCATTTAATTTCTTGCTTCTTCTTCCTTTGTCTCAGAAACAAACCCAGAGAGGTGATCTTGTTCCTGCGGGTAAACAAACCCAAGAACGTGATTCTGAAGTATGTGTTCTAATTCCGTCTTGATCCAATATATATACCCTGCTCTAGCTAATTTGTATGTTTCTTGACTAAAAATTACCTTCTTTCCTGTTTCTTGATGCGGCGCTCCAAAGCTAAGGATGGTGATCGATGACTAAACCTGAAAGATCTAGTTGCTTAAGATGATCGGAGCAAGCAATATATGTCAGGTACTCAATTGCTCAAAAGCTTTCTTTCCTGAATAGAATTCTTCTTGATTATTGGGTCATATTGGCCATGGCAGAAGTTCTCATGAGTATAAACTACTACGTATAAAGTTACTTTTCAAGGCTA